AATAATAATGATAATAATAATAATAAATGCCATTGACATAGCGCTCTACCCCGATTAAAGTACACAGGCTCTGAGCGCTTTACAATACAGTACAACGTACAACAGTAACATAAAACGTTGTGTTCTGACTAAAGAAAATTATTCCAAATATTCATCTTATTAATTTGAAAACAGAAACGACTTCAGCTCACATTTGAATGAATCAAAAGATTTGATCTTTCTTAAAGTACTTGGTAAAGCATTCCAGATCAGGTTCACAAAGTATCATGTCTGTTGTCTCCAGGTTTGCGATGAGCTGAAGTTACCTAATTTGTGTCGATGGGGGGCGTAAAATATTCACAAAGTATCATGTCTCCTGTCCTCAGGTTCACGGTGAGCTGAAGCGAGTGTGGCGGAGACATCGGTCCAGGCGCCATGAACTGTCGGCCCTGAACAAATCCTACCAGTACCACTCTGGTCAGCGCAAGTCGCAGACCCACCTCACGGGCCTGCTTCTGTCCAGCCAGTGTAAACTGACGCCACACAGCATCAGAGAAAACTCGGGACCTCGCAGCAAAGACTTACACCGCCTCAGGACATTCTCCGTGTCGAGCGAAGTCACGAATGACATCGGCCACCATTTTGTCACCCCGGAAGTGACGCATTTTAAATTCCCGCCTTCTCCTCCTCCTCCGCACAACGACAGCTCCGTGTTGGATGACGAGGACAGAGAATCTGCAAGTATAACTTCCGACACTCCTCCAACGACGGCACATGTCGCTCCTTCTGCGCATGCGGAGCGCCTCGACAGCGACCAATCAGATTCGTTGCTTCGTTATGCCATGAGAACTAATGCCCACCGAGTGCTAGTGAGACAGAGCACAGCGGATTCGATATCTAGTCAGCCGCTTTCGCCCGGTCTGGGGGAGCTGAGGATTGACTACGACGAGGATGAGGAGTACGATGATGACGTCATAGAGAAAGAGACCGACGAAAGTAAGACGATAGAACTCCAGGACTTCGGAGAAAAGCCATAGTGTTTCGGATTCTGTAAAAAAAATCATGAGTCAAACAGCACGTAGGGCTAAAACAGGCCTAGCTTCTTTATAACAACAGAAAAAGTATTCTATTATTATTATTATTATTATTATTATTATTATTATTATTATTAT